TCCAGCCTGGCGGGCGGCGCAGCCTGATGAGCTGCCCTGGTCTCACTTTTCTGTCCTGGTCATCTCCGACAAGTTCCATGCGTGACTGGTCAGGAGACAGCTAATTCGAGTCCGCACATTTTTCAGATGAGCTTTATTTTATTTTTAATTTCCCCACAAACGCACACCAGGCGCAGATTTCGTCAGTTACAGACATAGCTCTCTAATCTGTGCCGCCCTTCCGTAGCTCGAACTACCAAATGAATTAAGGTCCAGTTACATATAAAAGTGATTATGATCAGCGAAATGTCTGCCCAGAGCGTCCTCCCCAAACAGAGAGACGATTTGAGGCTCTGAAATTCCTCTCTGGCCATCTTGAGGCCATGCACTGTCCAGTAAAAATGACCCCAACAACCACCTTCTAAAACCTACACGGCCTTCAGAACTGACAGCTCAGAGCCTCAGGCCATCATCATGCAGCAGAGAAATAAATGACTTTTGATTGAGGTAACATCATTTGTTTTTTGTTTCCATCCAACAAGATTTCCTTCTAAGAGAACTGACTTCATCCTTTTGAAAGCTTCCTATTTCACCTTTGCAGCATCTGACTTTCGCTTAAAGGGTAGAAACTTCTTCCAAATTCTGACAGTGGAGGGGCAGGATTCTGCGTCTTCTTTGGGATTGGTGTTAGGCTCCCCTGGCATTTCTCAGGACGGCTCAAATCTGTGTGGACTCTATTTGCCCCTCAAAGCGGGGCAGAAGCACGAGTAGGCCCTGTGCAGAGACCCGCAAGGTTATATCAGACCAGGCAGCAAAGTGACAGAGGCCATCCCCTCTGCTGCTAAAGAGTTCATAAGCTAACTGGGGTAGTGGTGGTTGGGGGATATTCCCAAGGACACATTTGCTTGGGGCAAATTATTATCTCCATAAATTAACATGATATGAATACGACTGAGAAAATAAGAAATAACACAGCTGGAATAATATTAGGAACCACCAAAAAAAAGTATGTGATTTTGTATATTTCAGTGCCTCTCCTTGGGCTTTTGACCCCAGAAATACAAAATCTAGAATATTCTGGGCTTCTATGAAAAATGGGAAAAAGAACTAGGGAACTCAGGAAGGCGGTCTGCCTTTCCATTTGGTGTTTCTAGAACAATGATCACAAAAGCATAACCAGGCTTACCCCAAGGGGGTCCTCAAAGAAGCGCACCCCCGCCCCGGCCAGTCAGGCCACTTAATGTGGATTTTTCCCAGCTTTCTTTGCAGACCACAAGGTAGACGAGGGAAATACGTTCAAGCCCTTTGATGTGGTTCTTGGTGGGGTGGAAGCTATCTCAGAAAAGGTCCAGCAAATTCTCCTGGACCTGAACTCTCTGCAGAGCCAGCGGGGGTGGGGGGTGGGGGGTAGTAGTGGCCAGGCAATGCTTCCCCAACTGGCAGGAGCCTGCCTTACGCTTGCAACCCCACCGCCCGCCAGGCTGGGGCCCAACTGCCCTCTGGGACAAGCCAACCTTGGTCGTCACCCAACCTGAGAATCTTTTGAGCTCTTCCTGTCGCCATGCCCCACCCCGTCCCATTCCACCCTCTCCTCTTCTTTCTGCTCCCTGGCAGCCGCTCTGTTTTCAGATGTTTACCCAGAGGAGGACAGTCATGGGGAGACCTGGGGGCAGGGAGGTACCCTGAGAGTGAGATTGCTTCTGGAGGCTTCTAGGGCACACAGGATGAATGCCTCCTCGCCCTCTGTGTCCTGATGGGCTCTGTGTTAGTGTGCATCTGTGTGTGTTTTCACTGGTTGACCGTGGTCTGTGTCTCTGGCTTGCAATGTCATTGACCCCAGATCAGCCCAAGTCAAGTGCCTTTTTCAGGAACATGGGTATCATCTGCACTCTGAATGCCCCATCTCAGTGGTCCCAATTTGACTGGGACATCCGGATTTTGTAGCTTCATTTTATAACTGTTCCCCAGACCCTGATTCCATCCTTCAGAGCTCTGAGGACATGTAACTGGAAGCCACTCCAGTTACTCTCCCCCTCTGCGGTGGACCCGTGTCACCTGCCGCTCTGGCATCATCACCCAGGCATGCACTGTCACACTCCCAACCGGAATGTCAGCTTGCTGTTTGAGATTCACACCGACACTGGGTCCCCAGAGGGCTCCTCCTGGAGCCAGGGCGGCCTGCGCTTGGGAACACATAAAAGCACAGGAGTCCCCTCGCTTCTTGGCAGCACTTCAAGCGCCAGCCCAGTGGAGAGATCTTGACAGCATACTTGTAAACTCCACAGGCCCCAAGGGCTCAAACACCACGATATTTATGCTCGTGGGGTGGAGAGCCAAAACAGTTGGGTTGTTATGCACACGCAGGTCTCTGAGTGGGACCAGTTTTTCTGACACCTGTTAATTGGCATTTGAAATAACTGAGCTGGGGGGGGGGGCTTTGGAGCCTCTGCCAACCTGTACCTGAACGTTGGGGAGTCCAGCAAGGTTTTGGCCCCCCAGCTGATCACAGATTCCCTTGGAGGGAGGGATGAGCAAAGGAGTCCAGCAGTTGCCAGAAAGGATAATCAGAGAAGGAAGAAAATAGGAAGGAGGGTGAGAAGAAAAGTAAGTGTCCAGGAGAGGAGGGAAAGTAAAAAAATAGAGAGGGTGAGTATTTTTAGATTTGCTAGCACAGGGCTCTGTGCTATAGTGCCTGGTCCCTGTGTGTGAGGTACAGGAGCTGCCGGTGCAGACTGGGATATGCACTCCCTTCCTCTGGGGGCAAGAGGGCCCTCTCCTCTTTAAAGGTCAGCTGTAGGACCTCGTTCTCCAAAAAACCCTCTTGGAACACTCCAGACTGCTGAGCTAGCTCTTCCTTCTGTAACTCCTATTGCAACTGTTTAGCATTTCACTGACCTCCCTTAAAATTACCTCTCCCTACCCACAAGTTTTAACTCCTTGGAATCATATGAGAGACTTTTTCTAGTTCACAGTGCCCAGTGCAGCCTTAGACTCCAAGTAGAGTCTCCGCATCCACGGTTGATAGTTTGCAACACCAAGTTGAAATTTAGTAAAAATGGCTTCTATATTTCATTATTAACCCTCAAAACATGTCCAGAATTTCCTTAGTTGATCTGACTTATGTTGCAAAAGTCAACTTGTGTGTTAGTTGTTTGCATCTGGAAGTCCACAGAAACATTATAAATGGATGCATTCCCTCATACATTGCATATATCTTAAGCATTAATACAAGGTGGCACTATTTGAGGTGCTGGGGAGTCTGTAGGAAACAAAAATATAAAAACCCTTGTCCTCAAATATCTTATATGCTGGTCAGAGAGGCAGACAACCCATAAATCAGGGAAAATATCTCATATCCTAAATGCCAGAGGAGGGAATAAAATAGAGAGGGGCAGTAGAGTACTGGGATGGGTGGGGATTGGAGACAGGTTGACTCAAGACATTGTTTGAGGGAGCCCTGAAGGAGTGAGAAAGTAGAGGAGTTTCAGGCTCGAGGCAAGACAGGGCTTGGTGTGTTAAAACACTAGGAAGGCAGAGCTACTTGAGCCAAGAGAGCAACCAGGAGAGCAAGATACTGATTGCTCTCCTCCACGAGCACATTGGTGGTCTACTGAGCCCATGGAAGTCTGAACTGGAATCCTAATTCAACAATATCATTTACAGAATGCCTGTTAGTATGACTGTCCTTAGCCATGGTTCTGTAGAAATATCCCCCTGAGTATCATCCGGGCTGTGCTATAGACATACAGTGCCCACTCAGTACAGCACAGGGGTCCAGGCAGATAAGGCATAATGCCTAGTAGATAAAAATCTCCTTCCAAGGGACAACTTGGAACATTGGAACCATCTCCTGATTTGCAGCCTAGGGTGATTTGTTGCTGACTTTTGTTTTTTTGTCCTTGGACAAGTTGTATAACCTCCCTGATCCTTGATTTCGGGAGATAAATGAATCTGTTTTACTTTTGTTGTGAAAATTAAACAAGGTTAGTGGACAAGAAAGAGCCTTGTAAAACCCAAAAACATCTACTGATCTGAGCTGTCATGATTTTAGGTGAGTTATTCTCTTTGTCTTCTATGTCAAGGAGTTAAGGGATGAGGGCTCAGAAATAGGCATCTCCCAGGAAACCTTTCATATGTAGAAGTTGCTGATAAGTTAAGCTGTCTATCCTTTTCAGGAAGAGGTGATGGGGCTGGGCATTTTAGGACCAGTGAATAGCTCAGCTAAAAGATATAGATAGAAAATAAACAATGAAGAATAAAACTGATGACCCTAGTGGAGTGGAATCTGAAGAAAGATATACAATTTGTTTCAAAAACAATAAGCAAGAGGACAGACCCACACACATCACTACACAGGTAAAATCACATTTTCCGTTTGGATATGATTCTTTTCTCTGCCTTCCTGAATTCTTCAGAGCATATTTCCCACAGTGTTTAAGTTGCCCAAATAGCCCAGACCCCAGCCCTCCAGTTCCTCCCCAGACTGCCTATCTTCCTTCCAAAGCCCTTTAGGACAGGGGATTCTGTGCGGGAAGGAAACCTTTTAATGATAGAGAACTCACTTCCTCATTTTAAGGCAGGCTGTTCATGCTGGAGAGCCCTTGTTACTAGAGAGTTCTTCTGTATAGCCAATCTGTTTCCCTGTGATCTCCACTGCTGTCCCGGGTCACTCTCCAAGGTACTCAGAGGAACTCTAACTCAATCTTCTTCCAAGACACAACTCTTCAGGTATCTGAAGATAAGTCCCTATCCTACTCCCTAACCCCAACACATTCGGTTTAAGAATCTCCTTAGCCTTTGTGTTCTTGGTTTCACTATGCAATAACCAGGATTTATGTTGTAGTTATTTTGTGTTTTGTTGCTTTTTATTCTTTCCTGGACACGGTATGTGCAGAAGAAAAGCATCTCAGGATTCATGACCTTCTCCAGTTCTCAAAAATTTCTAGCCATTTCTTCTTTACCTATTAGTTCTCCCCTAGTCACCAAATCTTTTGCTGAAATGACTAGACATTTCAACCTACCTTCTATGCTTCCCACTGGACTTTTATCTCCATCTCTTTGAGCTGTGTTCTGAATGAATTCATCAGAATCATCTTCTAATTCACAAATTCTCTCTTTGACGGTGACCAGTGTAGTGTTCATCCAATACTGTTTCATGCAATTCTGCTTATTCACTTTAATTCCCTATTACTCCACAGGAATGGAATTCCAGTCCACTTTATCTGTAAGGCTGTCAGCCAGTGGTAAACAATGCCTTGACTGAGGTGAAGTCAGGACAAATTCCAAGTAGGAAGAACAGAAGTCATCAAAGGCCAGTGGGGAGGAGCCAGGAGAAACAGGAGGGCCATTTGTGCTTCAGCTTTGGAGGTGATTATGTTCAAAACATTCCAACAGCAGAATCAGCACCTGCCTCCTCCACCAAGTGCGGGGTACACAGGACAAATGAAGTTCCAGGCTGAGAGCAGCCCTCAGAAGGTGGTAGGTGGCTGGCTTCAGTGGATACCTAACCCCTTTCCTACAAGGGCAGGCGTATCTCTACAAATTTTCTATCCACTGCCAAAAAAATTATCTTAAATACTACTTATTTCAGCAATGAGAAAATCTTTTGGCATGTTCTATGCTGATTAACCAACTAAATCTGAGAAACTGAAGTCTTTTCTATTTCCTTCTCTATGGTGTAAAGTCCTGAATAGGTGTCTCCCAATATTCACTAACACAGAGCACAGTTACTAACACAGAGTACAGTTAACTTGCCCACACACTTACACGTACACCTCAGGCTATCCACACTGGAGGAGTTTAAGGGAAGTTACAGGCAGTACAACAAGACAGGCAGAATACCAGAGAAACCTGAATCCTTCAAATATAATCTAAGGACAGGGGTGAATTTCAGTCACTTGTTTAAAGAGAGGAACAAGCAACGCTTTTTCAGAGTTAAGTGATTCCTATTTCATGGTTTGTTTATTATGATTCCATTTTTGGCCCCAAAATGACTCAGTTCCCACTCAAATTTGCTCACTCCACCACCCACCCACTCAGTCTTCAAGAGACATTTCCCCTATTAAAAATTCCTCTTTAGGCTTGAAACTTCAGAGTTAGAATAGAAGAAATGCATAAAACCATGAGATTATATACCTACATCTGTATTTCTTTCAAATTCTAGTTTCTTTAGTGAGGTTGGATCCCTAAACTCGTTCTAACTCTCCCCATTAATTTGACAGAAAGACCCTGAGCTTCATCAGTAGGCATGTTTTGAACAAAGTATAGAGGTAGGGGATTGGGATTGAGGAAGCCAGCACACATGCAGGCCTACCATAATAACCAAGGGTGTCACTAGCATGTGTAGACATTACCCTTTCTTCCTGGTATAGCCAAACACCCTCCATTTTATCAGTTTTATTTGCCTGCTAAATGCATGAAAACCACAGGAGATGAAGGGCTCAATGCCTGGATACAAGCTTCTACTTTCACTTGCCTAGCTAAGTGTGTTTGGTGAGTCACCTGAAATCTCTCAAAACCCATTTACTAATCCATCAAATAGGGCTAGTGAGTCTACTCTGAATCACAGGGTAGTTGTTGGATCAAATGGTAGATGGAACAGATTTTGCTTTGTAAATTATAAGGATTCTAGGGGCATAAAGAGGCATTTGTATTGGCCATGCTCACACACTGGAATATTTCTTGTGAACATACCTTTTATTTCCAAGTGGACTTGAGGATTCTAGGGAGGGAAGGCTACAGGCTACATGTCTTCATGATGCCAAACACCATCCCTCACACCTGCTGGCCCTGAATGTGTGAATGAAAGAATGAGATTTTTTAAAAGGAGAAGGTGGCAAAACTTGGTTTGATGTAGTACAGTGTGCCTTGAAAAGAGACTTCAACCTCACTTATTCTATAAAAGTTATTATAAAACCTGTTATTTTCAATGTTTTGTGTTTGAATGATGAACAAGAAGTAGTCTCTGCCTTTAGGAAATCCAGTGAATAAAAGGACTAGCAGGACAATCTATATTGAATACAAAGAAGAGGTTGCCATTTCTACTCTGTGGAGAGTTGAGGGTAGAAATGAAAAGAAGGAAGAGTTTGTACAGAAGTGGATGCATGAACTGAGTCCTGAAAGCTGAGAGTGCTGTGGTCTGCATCCTCCCCAAACTCAGAGGTTGAAACCTAATCCCCAGTGTGATGGTATTAAGAGGTGGGGCTCAGGATGTGACTAGGTGATGGGGTGGAGCCCTCATGAATGAGGTCAGTGCCCTTTTTATGTAAAAGATTTGATGAGCTTGCTTGCCCGTTCCTTAGTGTGAGGATGCTCCAAGATGGCGCCATCTATGAAGAATTGTGTCCTTACCACGTATTACTGTACCTAAATCTTGGACTAGATGAAACTAGAAAAACTCTTTTCCTACTCTTCTTTTCTAAGAAAGAGGAATTTTCCCCCCAAATGCACAGTTCTGACTTTTCTCTATACTGGTGAAGATGTAGCAGTTGCCCTGAAGAGAATAGTTGGGCAAGTTCTGCTCATCCCTGTCCTCCTTCTTCCTCTTGCATCAAGAATATCTACCTCATGGAAGCTTCTGCTCCTCTGTACCCCAGGCCAAATGCCTGGGACAATGGGTAACCCTGCCTTATTTAGTGGGTCAGTTGGCAGGTACATTAGGCTGTCATACTAGGCTGTGATCTCCAGTTTTTCAACGATGAGGCTGATAGTCTACCCCTGTTTACACCCTTTGTTTTGCACTTGTGCAGAGCCCACATGCATTGGATGCCCCGCCAGGTAGAGGAAAAGCAGAACAGGGAAGGGTTTGCCCAGGATCTTGGAATCACGTGGTACAAAAGGTCTCCACTTCAGTGAGGGTGGGTAGAGAGGCTGCAACAGCACACGATGCCCACAGCCTTTGGAGGCTGAGCGTGGATCTGGTGTGGAGAAAATTAGGAGCCAGTCTCAGCGCTGTCACTTGTCACTAACCATCTGGATGATCACGAGCAAGTCACTTCAACCTTCAGGACTCATCTGCAGAGTGAATTGCATTATGAAAACTTTGAAGGGCCTTCTCAAACTATATAAATTTTTTTTAAAAGGAGGATATCCTCACAGGGGGAAGTTTTGTACTTTGGGGCAGATTAAACACTGGGGCAGATTCTGGGATTTCTTTCCTTCGAGATACGGGAAAAGCAGTTGGTTTAGCATCCAATTTACATGTACAATTTAATTCGTATATGATGGGTACTCTGTTATGACCATACATGCACTATACCTTTCATCCTCATGCCAATCTATGAAATGGACAGGATTGTCATTCCTATTTTGCAAAGAAACCAAGTTTAAATAAATAACCTGCCCAGGAGCCTACACATAAAGTGTCAGTGCCAGGCTTTGAACTTTGGCAATCTGGCACCACAGCTGCAACCTCCAGCACCTCACTGTGTCACCTCCTCTAAGGGGCAGTTCTAGGTCCTTTCTCAAGAGCCCATCACGATCCATGGAGTCTTAGGAGGGACCCAGTTTGCAGCTTCTCAGACACGTGCAAAAGGCAGGTGCTTGGCTAGTGTGAGAAACCAAACTCTTTTGGCTCTCTCTTAGCTCAGTGCCCTAGGTTTTGACATTCAGGGGTGAGAAGCATTTGTTTGGCAATTAATAATGCACTGCCTTGTGACATCTCTTGCATTGATGTCTTTATTGTTGCTCAGTTTCAATGTGCCTATGATTTTTCCCAACCCCTGATATTGATTGCATACTGACCAGGTGTCAGCCACTTTACATGTTTTATTGTTTATTTCTCTTAATACTTACAGCAATCCTTCAAGGCAGGCACTATTATTATTTCCAATTTACAGTTGAGAAAACTGAGATATAGAGTGAAAGATACTATAATAAATTTCTCATAGGACTATGACATTCGACAGCATATACTAGGTCCTCATTACATATTTGCAAATAGATTGATTGAATCAAGTTACTTTGTTTCAAAGATATCCTTGCTCAGGTCCTTCCGTAGTCTTCCATTTATTCTCCACTTTGTTCTATCCTTCCTATATTTCTTTTACAAACTGGGTCTAAAATGCTGGTTGAGGGATATATACAGAACTCCAAAAACTTAACACCAAAAAAAATAATCTAATAGATAAATGGCAAAGGAAGAGAACAGATGCTTCACAGAAAAAGAAATGTGAATGGTCAACACATATATGAAAAAGTGTTCAACATCAGCAGCAATTAGACAAATGCAAATTGAAAGTACACTGAGATTTCATCTCACTCCAGTCAGAGTGGCAATTATCAAGAATACAAGTAACAATAAATCTTGGCAAGGATGTGGGGAAAAGGTACACTCATATGTTACTGGTAGAACTGCAAATTGGCGCAACACTCTGGAAAGCAGTATGAAGATTCCTCAGACAACTTGGAATGGAACCACCATCTGACCCAGTTATTCAATTTTTTGGCTTATAACCAAAGGACTTAAAATCAGCATTCTATAGTGACATGGCCACATCAATGTTCATAGCAGCTCAATTTACAATAGCTAACCTATGGAATCAATCTAGCTGCCCTTCAATAGATGAATGGATAAAAAAAAATGTGGTACATATACACAATGGAATATTACTCAGCCATAAAGCAGAATGAGATTATGATATTTGCTAGTAAATGGATGAAACTGGAGGCTATCATGCTAAGTGAAATAAACCAATCCCCCAAATCCAAAGGCTGAATGTTCTGATATGTGGATGCTGACTCACAACAGTCCTGGGGGAGAGAGGAGTGGAGGTTCACCAGATTAGACAGAGGGGAATGGAGGAAGAAGGCGGAATGGGAAGGAGAAAGATAGTAGAATGAATCGGACATAACTTTTCTATGTTCATATATGAACACACAACCAGTGTAACTCCATATCATGTGCAACCACAAGAATGGGAAGTTATACTCCATGTATATATGTCAAAATACATTCTACTGTCGTGTATGATTAAAAAGAGCAAATAAAGTATTACTTATATTTTTTTTAAAAATGCTGGTTGACAAGCAAATCAGCCACATAAGTGTGGGTTGTTCCTATATGTTTATTTTAGAAGGCCCTGGAGGAGCCATAGGAGCTCCCCAGAATAAACCCAACTTCATGTACTTAATAATTATGCACCAATCAACTAACATATTGACAATGTGTTGGTTGACTAGTGGTCTGCTGATAAACATTTTTGCATTCTTTTATGAGGCCTGATATGCTGATGCTTGCTTTTATTGTTGTTTTTC